AAAGTAAAATTACAAGGACTATCAATCCTGTTTCCAGTATAAACTGATCACCATCTGTGATCAGGAAGAATTTCCCTCCTTCTACTCCATCTATGCAATGTTATGCAATTAAATGCATTATGGAAGATTTATATCCCTATAAATCAACCAGTAATGTTTACTCTCAGTATCTATTAACATTACAGAGCCTTTTTTGTTTGTCTGTTTCCCACAGGGAAGTAAGTTGTCCCTATTAAAAGTTATCATTTTGATCACTTTTAGCCATTGTAAATGGTCGTAATTTAAAAATGTGTGTCTAACATTGTAGTTTCATGAGCTGCTACCCGGCCAGTGTCTGTGTGCTGCCTGCACTTATGTTGCTTAACTGATGGTTTGGCACAGGGCATTATTTTAAATGTATGAAGTAGTGAGGAATTTCCTCATCAGCAATCATGAATTCTCCACCAGTGAGCTCAAGCTTTCCCTCTTGTAAAATGCCCCTTTCAGCTCCCTCTGTTTTTTCTTCAATATGAGAACATCACTACATTATGTGATTATAACACCCACTAATTTGTTGACATTGTTGTGGACAGTAATTGTGTAATTTCAGCAACCTATGTGATTAAATGTTTTACACTGCCTCACAACATGGGATCCAGTCACAAGGAAGTAGTTACACCACATTGAACATATACAGTGGTACCTCGGGTTAAGTTCTTAATTCGTTCCGGAGGTCTGTACTTAACCTGAAACTGTTCTTAACCTGAAGCACCACTTTAGCTAATGGGGCCTCCTCCTGCTGCCGCGCCGCCGGAGCACGATTTATGTTCTCATCCTGAAGCAAAGTTCTTAACCTGAAGCAATCTTTTTGGGTTAACGGAGGCTGTAACCTGAAGCGTATGTAACCTGAAGCGTATGTAACCTGAAGCGTATGTAACCCGAGGTACCACTGTACAGTCGTACCTTGGTTTCGAACAGCTTAGCTCTCAAACGTTTTGGCTCCCAAACGCCGCAAACCTGGAAGTGACTGTTCCAGTTTGCAAACTATTTTTGGAAGCCGAACATCCGACAGGGCTTCTGCAGCTTCCGATTGGCTGCAGGAGCTTCCTGCAGCCAGTTAGAAGCTGCGCTTTGGTTTCCAAACGTTTTGGAAGTCAAACAGACTTCTGAACACATTCTGTTCGACTTCCAAGGTACGACTGTACTGTAGTATGCCGCGCACAGAGCTACAGTTTCCAGCACTCTTAATAAGCTACAGTTCCCAGGATTCTTTTGGGGAGAAAATGTATGCTCATTCTGTATACAACCATAGTGTGTTAATTTAATATTGTTTAAATGCAATTTTGAGTATGCAATTTTGAGAATCACATGTGCACTACTTTTGGCAGTTTTACCACTCATGGAAGAATAATAGAATTATAGAACTGTAGAGTTGGAAGGGGTCCAGAGGCCCAACCCTCAGCAATGCAGGAAGCCTGCCCACAGCCATCTCTGGGTTAACTCAAATCACCAACCTTCTGGTTAACAGCCAGATGCACTGACCCATTGTGCCATTATCACACTTGTGTCAAAAAAAAAACTTTCACTTTCCCTTTCTCATCTGCATAATTCATTCACCTTAAATAAACTGCTACATGTTCACATGCATTATTTGCAGATCAGAATTAAGGTTTACAAAAACATTAGCTCCTGCATGTGTAAGGTCTCTGAAACTTGCCTACGGACAGTCTACTTTTGCTTTTAAAATTTACATCTCAATTCCATCCTTACCACTGCAGTGTTGCTGTGTATTAGGCTGCTGTGTATAAGTTAGGCAATGTATACTGGCTTGATTTACTTGTCATAAGAAACTGCCCTGTGCTTGAAAGTGTTTTAGACTAAATTGTTTTATCATTATGAATTTATTTGTTACTGTAAAAGCATTAATTTTCACAGACGTGCTGTTGCTGCTGCTGCTGATATTATATCATTTACATAGATGTTTAATTGTAACTGGACATTAAAGCAATGTCTGGATAAATCACCTAAATCCTGTAATCCGAATGTTCTGTGCAACTGAATGCATAATGTGCTTCTTTTTCAAAACTCAATATAAAGCACTTCCTTAGAATACGAGTTTGGATTCCCCTTACAAATATTTATGTGAAAAGAAACCCACAAATATACCAGTGAACCGCAACATCTCACTGTGATAAAAAGTAATTTAAACGTTTAAAGTTCAGCCTTTGTCAAACAAAGAAGAAAAAAGTAATGTTGATTAAATAGTTCGGGCAGGCATCCAATTTCACTATTCTTTTCTAAAAAAAAAAAAGTACAGTCCCACTCATTTTTCAATTGCAAGCTCTAATTTGCTGCTGTCTTCTAATTCCTCAGACTATAGAGTTTGTGCCAAGAGTACTAAACCTGAAAAAGGTGTAGTATAACATAGTTTAAAGCCCATAAGCATGACTGCTGTTGTCATAAGATTCCATTTTGCTTTCTATGATTTTTAAAATTGACATGAAACCCCATATCTGGAGAATTGTGCTATGTGCCTTCATTATGTGCTGTGTGGATGACACTCAGCTCTATGACCTTTGGGCATCCACAATTCTCAGGTAAAGTGCCTGGAAGGACGGTGTTGGTTCTACTCCAGGAACCAGATAAAGCAGATTATATAGCTCACAGTAGGAAACACCTGGCCTGCAGACCTAAATAGTCCTGCCATACTTCCTCATCTGGCAAGGCCATTTTGGCTAAGCAAAACCATACCCATTTACTCTACTCCTGACATCAGAAAGTACAGACATGGTGGGACAAAAAGGGGTCTGAAGCACTTTTAAGCCCTGAAAATTAGGTTTCAAATGACATGCAGGACTCCCTGCAAAGCCTGAGGTTCAGCTGATTGTAGGGTCTTCAAAGCATCACACAGAACTCTATGCATTCACCAGCAATGACTAATTGCCAGGGCTTTCAAAGAGCTGCACACTGTGCTTGCACCCCGTGGTTTAATTTAAGGTAAAAACATTATGACATCAAGTGAGTGTCCCTGCTCACCTGTCAAACTTGACCCAGGAGTGGGGGGTGGGGGGAGATCCAGTTTATTGCCTTTGTTCTAGAGCCATTTCAGTCTGCATTCAGGGCTGGATTTAATACTGAGACAGCTTGGAGAGTCTGAAAGCTGACCTTTGAGAGGATAGAATCAGGGGAAGACATGCAACCCTATTGATTCCCCAACTTCATACAGTGGTGTGCATTGAAAGGGAAGAAAATAATAGTTGCAGTTTTAGTACTATTTTAATTGAGACTGTAATCACAGATTTAAGGGACTATGAATCTGCATTAACCGAGTTTATCATGTATGCTAACAATGTTATCTCTATGTTTAAAATAAATAGTTGTGTGTGTGTGTGTGTGTGTGTGTATAGGAGTCGCTTACTCATGATTTCCACCCTATCCTTTTCTGTACTGGAGACAGCGGCATTTAAAACCTTTGTTTCATATTGTTTTAATACAGTTGTCACTATTGCCACTACTTCACCATTCCTTATGCTTTAGTGAACTGGCTCTTTCAGAGGCAGCATTTTTTGACAGGATACACTGCTTTCTGAAGTGTCAATTCAGCAAGGCAAAGGACTAATGAACTAACATCAGCAAAGAGGGAACTGCAGTGAAGATATTTTTAAAACTGCAAACTCTTTTGAAGGCTTGAAGTAAGAAAGACATCAAGGCAATTGCTGGACTCTTGCCTCTTACTGTTATAAGCAAATTAATAATAATAATAATAATAATAATAATAATAATAATAATAATAATAATAATAAAAAGAGAGACAGACAGACTACTTCCAGGCACAAGAGAGCTGTTGACAAATATTGGAGGCTCCCATTTTAAAAAACTTTCAAAATGTAGTTATATGAAGCCTTTTGAAAGCTGCTGTAGCACACAAGCTAGGAGACTAAGCTACAAATCAGGAAGTTTCTTGTTTGAAACTTGCCTCTGCCGTGGGCTCATTGCATGGCCTTAGACAAGCCATTGTCTCTTGGCCTCAGTTCTCTGATCTGTCAGGGTAGTTGTAGAGGGATTCTAACCATGGTTTTTTAGGGGTTCCAGTCATGAGGAGACTTCTAAGCAATCTCAGCCAAACATGCTTAGAATCCTCCATATCTTTGCATCCATAGCACAAAAGGACCTTGGGAGTAGGACTTGCATGTGTAGTTCAAGTGCCCTTTTCAGAGATTCGCAGTAATGCCTAAAGAGAGCTAAAAGTTTTGCTATTTCTTCTAAAGCTTGCTTATCCATTTACTTTGTGATGTGCAATCAGAATTTATGCCCAAATCAGTTAATGTTGTGCAGCATTTAAATTTTAAGTTTTATTCACTCGTTAACAATATTTATCTTGACTGTTCAATAGATTTTTTTAAAAAATCTGAAGCAAGTTTACATAATTTGAAAACAAATTATACAATTCATAGTAATGCAATTCACACAGATACATTTAAAATAAATAACAACAACTAAAAGTGATTGTCCACTAATAACAATTAATAAACAAAATAAGGTCATAAAAAGGACCATGTACAGCCCCATTAAATCCAAGTGTTTCAACAAAAATAAGATGCTTTTATATTACCATACCATGAACCCATTTTTATCTGGTCACCTTCTCTGTTTTTAAAATCAGTTTAATATTCTGCCACATGATGTTATTGTATTCGTCGTTTCACTTAGGCTTCATTAAGATATGGCATACTTGCACAGTTAATCCAGAATTAGCATCACACTTTACAAGTGCTTTAATCTCACAAACTGGCCCATACATAGGTGATCTCTTTTATACCCCAATTTTTCAGTCTAGATGTTCATTTTTCTAACAAGCAGATGCTGCACACTGTATTCAGGCAAGCATCTTTTAAACATGATATTAGGTGCACATGACATTTATATAAGCAGGTTTTTCTCTACCATGCTTGCATTTGGCATAGTACATTTTGATCTGGTCATTGTACTCCATTTTTATCAGATTATTTGGTTTCTTGCAGGACCTCCAGGATGGCATTGGGAGACAGCAAGCTGTTGTCAGAACACTGAACATCGCTGGGGAGGAAATTATTGAGCAGTCATCAATAGCCGATGCCAGTGTATTGAAGGGGAAACTGGGAAGCCTGAATTATCGGTGGAAGGAACTCTGCAAACAACTGGCAGAGAAAAAAAAGAGGTGAGCTAACATAGCAAGTAAATGTTATTTTTGATACTTCAAGCTCATTTCTAATAATTGAAAAAATCATAACAAATTACAAATTGTTTTGTTAGAGTTTAAGGAATTTCCTTAGTAATTGTGTTATATAAATCTGTGAAATCCTTTTTTTAAAGAAGCTCGTGAACAATCAACATAGCCATAGCTTCCCATTATATGTGTTTTTTGTTTATAATCATAAAATATTGCCACTACCAAATTATATTATTATTATTAGTGCTTTATTTTTGCATTTATTTATTTTGGAAAAAAATATAAATAAAGCAAGCATTGGATTTTGTTTCAGCTTTTTCTAAATGTTTAGCAAAATCTGCAAGTGTACACTTAAAAATATAGGGTCAAAATGTGAAATTTTATTATTGTAAGGTTGGACTTCATTCCAATTGAAGTGTCTTAAGTTAAGCCACCACTAACTTGTCCCATTTATTTCAGTGGGACCTAACTGCAGTTTATCTAATGTAGGCTGCAGTCCTATACCACTTTCTGTGAGTAGGCCCCACTGAACTCACTGGGATTTACTTCTGAGTAATCATGTATGGGATTGTGCTTTTAGTCTGAATTTAACCTGGATTTGATTGGAATACACCAGTCTGCATGTGACTAAAGCACATATGCGAACTAAACACAGTGGCTTTCTTCCAAGTAAACATGTTTAGGATTATAGAGTTTAATGAAACAAGCAAAACCTGTTCATGATACAAGGCTGCCCTGCTTTGCGTGCTGAGTTGGCTGTGAGCACCAGTGAACTCAGTGGAATTTACTTTTGTGTAACTGGAAGTATACAGTTGGGTTAAAAGTATACAGTTGGGTTAAAAATAACTTACACCTAATTTATAAAACTGTATTATTACTATTACATGTGAGTGTGTGTCAAAACTATATTGTTCATTGTTTCGTAGCAACCCTTTCAGGATGTTTCAAATGAAAATACAGAAAAGTGAGCAATTTCTCTGTAAAAAGCAACACTACCCTGTTTCAGTTAGATTGACAAAGCACAAAGAAGCAGCAGAATAAAATGATTTCAATATTTACTTGATATTACTACTTGATAGCACAAGGAGTTGGTCTGGAAATCTGGTTAGATATTTTGTCAGGAAATTACTGTGATTCATAAAGAATTTTGTTGTTCTGAAAGGTTGAAATATAATTGCTGCTAGCTTACAAGAGAAAATAAGGTGTCTATCAATAATTTTGCAGGTGTGGTTTCAACCCCCCCCCCCAAGCAAGAGATGTCGAAGGACAAAATACAGCATACTTTGTTCAGCTCTTTATTTTTACAATAGCAATGCCCCTTTTAATTTATAAGTTTGCCTGAGCTGCACAGATGTTCATGTGAACAGGAAAACGTGGAAGGTTATTGTTGAATTCAATTTCTCTTGAAATGTGTGAGATACTGAATGTGCCAGAGGTAAGCTGCAGCAGTAGGGTGCTAAATGGCTGTTTCTGCCACACCTTCACATAATTGATACTAATGTTTCACATGCAGCAGTACTTGAAAGATTATTTCTCATATACCATACTTTTCCGTGTATAAGACGAGGTGTTTGTTTGTTTTTTACTGTAAAATAACTGTCAGAGGTCCTTTACCTTTACCTTTTTAATGTTCAAAAACGTGCCTTGTCTTATACATGGATAGTGAATGGGGTGGGCAAGTGATTGGCTGCAGGCACAAGCAGGAGCTTGTCATCAACGACTTGGTGGGTGGTTGTTGGCTGCTAGAAGGGCTTCTTTGGATTGGCTGCTGCTGCTCTAATTGGGTTGGTGATTGGTTTCTGCAGCAACGACTGCTGTGGATTGGCTATCGCTGCCGCAATTGGCGGCTGCTGTTCTGGGAGTCTTTTCTCAGGCGGGTCTGTGATTTTGATGTGGGGAATGGTCTGTTGGTGATTGGCTGTTACTGTGGGAAGTGGGCGGCCCAACAACTCTGGGCAGTCCTCCCCAAAAAGCTCAACAACCCTGAGCCATCTGCCTCCATTTTCTTAAATTTGAGTCCCCCAAAATAGGGGACGTCATACATGGGGGCATCTTATAGACGGAAAAGTACGGTACTTACAGACATTTAGGCTTTTTTCAGATAAAGGGAGGGCACCTAAAAAGGTAACATATTTATTATACTAAACTAAGCATACAAATATTTATGTATTAGTTCTGCAGAATGGCATGGGAAACTTGGTTGTTTTTGCTGCAACAGGCGAACAGTGTGTTATTTTCAAAGATGTACACCAAGCATGAAGAACCTCTGGCCCACAGGCTGATTTAGCCTGCCAGGAGTGTGAATTTAGTCCATAAGCCATGCCTACCTGCTTCACACCTGACATCCTATGACTACAGCTGCAAAAGAGCATCCGGGATCCTTAAAGTACCCTTCCAGTTATTCATTGGCAAGCAAGGCTTGCAATTGGAACCTTTTCAATTTGGCACCAGATGCAAGCCCTGCTTAAATTGGCTCCACTCAGGAGTTCCCTAGCAGAGCTCCCAAGTGGAGCAAATCCCTGTGGATTAAATTTAATTTCAATGCTAAATGCAAGATCCGCTTTTAGTAGGAATTTGGCAGCCCCGGTTTAGATTCGATGTGTGGCTGCAAAGATCATTCCTTTGGAGAATAATGACCCTACCCACTTGTTGAAAGTGGTCCACTGAGGGTAGACCAGTTCTACAGACAGACAGACAGACAGACAGACAGACAGATGACAGACAGATAACTTGCCCCTTTCACAACCCAACGGTATAGCAATCAAGCATTATTAAAGGATGGTTGGGTGCAATGGAGAGTAGAGAGCAAAGCTGGACTGTGGCAGAGTTTTCTGTTTGGATCTGGTTTGCTTTGTTTTTGTGGGAGGTATGGTTTCCAGGATTTAAAGGGAATGTTTGATAGAAAAAAGGAACATGAAAAGAAAAGAAAAATAATAAAACATTTCATAAAATGCAGGGTGTTTCTATGTGACAGAACATTTCTCACTAAGTATGGTCACTCCCCCCCCCCCAAAAAAATAACACTGCTATGCAGTGCAGGAGAGTCATTAGCCTCTGAAGAAAAGTGAGAATTTAACGTATTTCTAAATGTATTTAAATAGGATTGCCCAGATGTGGCCGGAAAAGTTGCCACCCATGACATCAGTAGATACTAAGAGACTTGCAGAAACACATTCCATACAATATTCCCAAAAAAAGTAGATGACCAAATGCGGAGAAGAAATTGCTTTTTTCCTAGTGATAAATCAACATGCCATGATGGTTTACAAAGTACAAAAGACATATCCCTGCCCTATGGAGTTTATAATCTAAAATTCAACTCGGAAGAGACAACAGAGGAAGGATAAGAAACTAGACACAATGTAATCAAGAGGATGAATGTTTGTGTGTTGAATAAACACAGTTCCTCTGCAACAGATGCAATAACTAGAGGAAAGATCTTGACAAAAGATGCTCCAAGTCTTCTCCTTCTCTCCATTATATAACTCATCCCTAACCAATATTATTTCCCTCACAAAAACGAAGGAGTTTCCCATCCTAAACTAGAGAGTCCAAAGAGTTTGGAGGTAGCTTGAAGAAACTTGTTGCACTTATTGATTGTTAACTTACCAGTTAAATCATTTGCTGCAGGGCTCTTGTTAACTTATAATTACAAATCAATAGTTGAAGAGAAAGCAGTACATTTTAAATACTGAGTATCTACTTTAGTAAATTACTTTTGCTTCCTGGCATAAAAACATATATTTATATCCTAGTAAATTCATTTAATTCCCAATTCATTTGGTCACATAACACTACAGAGTAAATATATGCATATAATTATACTATTTTGACAGTATTCCAGGGCCAAATGAGGAGCAATGGCAGCAGATCTATTTGTTGAAACCCAGCCTTCTCTAGTTACACATGTTTGGGATTGCCACTTATTTGGGCCCATGGACATATTTGCAAACTAGATAAACTGCTGTGGGCACCACACAGATGCTGAAATGAGCCCACACCACAAATGGCTACTATAGAATGAGTGAGTGAATGAATTTTTATTTGCATCAGCCATCCGCCATAGCAATAAAACAACAATACGATATACAAAGAATAGTAATAAAAATTCAATTATATAAAATACATTTTAGGGTTTTGAATCAATAGTCAAATAGTGGATCTTATTCTGATTGCCCTAGCTAAAAACCTTGCAACCTTTGCTGCCACCTGCTTATCTTGATCTGCCAAGAGAAAGGGCACTGTGGCAGTGGTTGGGTGACCCAGAATGGACAATTAAAGAGGGGTGATAATCTCATTCCTCAAGTCTTTATAAAGAGTGCAAGCCAGAAGGGCATGCACCACCGATTTGGTACTGCCATCTCCATAGGGACATAAGCGTTTTTTGTGTGGAATCTGTTGGAATCGTCCCTCAAGTGCAGCCAAGGGCAATACATTCAATCTTGTGAGAGTAAAAGTGTGTCTATATTTTAGAATTGCTAGGTTATGCAGAAAGGGTGCCAGAGAGTCGAAACGAGAAGGTGGAAAATAGTCATACCATGGGCAAAATTTACTTATTGTGGCCAATTTGTTCTGACGCTCGATATCATGTAGACACTGACAAATTAGACTGTTTGCTTTACTAAAACCCAAAGTGAGTAGTTGTTGTGGTGATAAGCCACAAGAGTGAAGTTTTGGATTGTCACAAGAGAGCCTGGACTAAAATTGTCTATCTTGCAGCACTGGGGATATGAGACCAGGGGGATTTGAGTTTAGGTGAAGCCAGTAGTTAAGTGTCCTACGCCACATCCGTAATTCTACCGAGGAAAGATTAGCCTCTAGGCGCAATGATGCGTTTGGGGCACAGGGTGGTACAGAGAAAATTTGCCTTAATAACTTTGATTGGAGAGCTTCCGTAGATGTTCTTTGTCTAGCTGCTTAAGAATATAATATTCAAATTCAAAATGTTACCATCTGCATTGTTGCCTTGATTTGACCATCATGTCTGA